TTGAATCCCGCGGCTGCGGGGCGGGGCACGTCACTGCCGGCGGGGCGCAGCCGGCGCGAAGGAGGGGCGACACGCGCGGCGGGGTCGCGGCTCTCCGATTGGCTGCGGCTCCCGAGGGACGGGGCCTGGAACCTGAGCGCGGACGGAGGACTCGGCAGAAGCAGGGAGAGGGATGAGGGGCGGGGTCGAGCCGCCGAGAGGTGGGGCGGAGGACGGGAAGGCTTCCCCCAGGTCCACCACCGTTTTCTGGGGGGTTTCTGTATTTTTCCGAGGGCGCAGGCCTCAAGCTCGGTGTTTAAGGAGCAGGTTTGTGTTCATCTGCTTTGCGACTGAAGCAAATTACTATGCTGAGTGAGATAAACCCAATGACTGTGAGCTGAGATTAACTCCTGTGTCCCTGAGCATGATTCGCTCGTCTGAGTACCAGTTTCGCCCTGTTAGAAATGGAAGAACTGGGTTCCACAAGGGGGCACAGCCTCCCTATCTTCCCCTTGGGTTGAGCCTTTCTGCTGCCAAAATCAGGGTGGAGCAATGGGGAGGGCAGCAGGTGGAAGACCTGATAGGCACGCCCACGTTGAACGCTGAGATTATAAACCTCAGAGGAAGTACGGCAGGCGTTTGCTCCAGATTGCAGCCCTCTGGCTTGGCATCTATTAGTCAAATCCGGGTCATGATTAGCAGCCTCGAGGACTTTCTAAAACGGAGAGGCACCGAAAGTGTTTGGCAGGCCCTGACTTTCTCAGACCAAGCATGAACTAACCAGACTTAACACAATAGATAAAAGGATACAGTAGCAAAATATCCTAGGACAGCAGTGTCACACACAGGTTAAGCTCTCAACAGGTTTAGCTCCTGATTACCTCTTACTAGCTGTGTGATTTTGAAACAGCTATTTAACCTCTCTGAGCCTCAGTTTCCTGATCTGTAAAATGATACAAGTGATAATATCTATCTCATAGGGCGTTTATGAGAATTAAATGAGAGAATCCATGGAAAGTGCTTGGTGCTTTGTAAATGCTCAATTGATGTTAGCCATTATTACATAAAAAGCAACAAATTCTTATGTCACTAAATGGCATGGATGAGAAACCATGAAGAGAATTTTAAAGAATTAAAGAAAAGGCAAGAAGATAATGTTTGGTCCCTGCTTCCATGGAGCTCACATTTCTGATGGAAAAGTGAAGAGAATTGGGCTCTTTCATATCTGTTAAATTATCGGGTAGGATTAGGGTGGGAGGAAGTTGGGGCAAAAGATAAGGTGTGCATGCCCAGAGTTGAAAGCAAAGGCAAAATTAGTTTCCATAGAAATTTACAAAGATTCTTAGGGACAAGAGAGAGAGAGATCTCCCTGCACATCTTTGAGCCAAATGGGGAGTAGAAAAGAAAGGAAGTGGGAAGAATTGTGTGAAGAGGGGTGGTACCTGATAGACAGGGGCTTGGTGCCCGGGCCTGCTGGGCCAGACACGCCAGTTACACATCTGCTCCCCTCCTCCCTCTCTTTTGGCAGGAGCTCCCCCTGTGCCTGGGGACCCCTGAGGAAGAGGAGTAAACAGTATGCTGTTTGGCTTTTAATTTTGTCATTGGTCATTATTAGACCTGAAAATCAACGTTTGCTCTTTACAGATAGGTGGGGCCAGTCGTGAAGTGTGAGGAGTTGGTAGTTTGCACAAGGCCCCACAAGGTGATAGTAGCGTGATGTTGACAGTTCACTGGGAGAACTCCTAGGACAAGGATCCAAAATTCATCTTTATTCATTAACAGAGAAAAATGTAAGAGCCAAGCAGATTGGATCTTTTTCTCAACAGGTCAGCTTATCTTCTTCCCCATAGGAAAATCTCCTTGGGAAACCAAAACAGTACCAAAAGCCCACTGAATGCGTTTAGGCTTAGTAAAAAGAAATGGTGAGGCTGTTGCAGATGAATGTACCCATCACCTTCGAAAGGTTATGTCTCTCAAAGGGAAGCTAATGACTGCCCACGGCCTCACCAGAGATACAGCCATGCTTTCTAATACAGCTTTCTCCTTCTGCTCTGTCCAATATGGTAGCACTGGCCACATATGGCTGTTGAGTGCTTGAAATATGGCTACTGTAATTGAGGAACTGAATTTTTAATTTTACGTAATTTAAATTTATAAACTGATAGTTGATTCAGTTATCAAAAAACTTTTATATTTGGGACAACTTGGGTATGTAAAACTATTTTCTCAACTGTAAATTTTATGAAATCTAAATATAGATGAAGTATTTCTGATGAACATTTTGTGTGCAAATTGAGATGTGTGAAATACACAACAGATTTTAAAGACTAAGTATGAAAAAAGAATATATCTCAATAGTGCTTTTTAATATTATTACATGTTGAGATGATAATATTTTAGATATATTGGGTAAAACAAACATATAAAATCAGTCTTACTATTGTTTTTTACTTCCTTTACTGTGACTGTTAGAAAATTCAAAATATAAATGTGGCTTAAGGCATGTTTCTATTGGACAGTGCTGATATGCACACAATAAATGATCTTTAAATACAGGAAGAAAAGAACCAAGTAAACTCTTGCCTTCTTCCAATCCAGTTTCCCCTCAGCAGAAATTTTTTCTTTGAAATAATGCAGATCTAATTGTGTCCCATATTCCCCTACACAAACATTTCAAACATTTTATTGACTTGCCTTTGTTTTCAGCATAAGGCACCAAATTCCCAATTTGTCCTCCCTCTCAAGCCTAGCAGGCCTAGACTGACTTCCCCAACCTGCTCTCACACCCCCAACAGTAGACACCTTTTATTCCTTAACCAGGCCGATTCCTTCCTGCCTCAGGGCCTTTGCACAGGAGGTTCCCCCTGTCTACAATGCTGTTACCTCACTGTTACCTCCTTGCCTGCCTCCCAGATCTCAGCTCATTCCTTACTGCCTAAGGGAAGGCTTTCCTGCCTCCCAGAGAAAGGGATTTGCTCTCTTTACCATGCATTTCTTCAAAGCCTTCACTGCAGTTATAATTGCACATTGATTTGCGAGTGATTCTTTAATTGGTGTCCCTTTCCCTCAAACCACTGTAAACTCCTTAAGGAGTTGTCTGATTTTGCTCACCATATAACCTCAGCACCTACCTTCACAGTGCTGGAACAAATTAGGTGGTCAATAAATATTTGCTCAATGATTGAATGAATGCATTGATGGGGGTCTCCTCTGCCCTACACTATTGTGGAGAAACAGGCGTACCCTTTACTCTTCTCCTTTCTGTTATCAATATTCCTTAACAGGCACCAAAAACATCATTTTACAGCCCAGCACTTTGTTAGAGTAGACCTATTGCTTCTTCCTGGATTAGAGTTCATCTCCAGCCAGGAAGGGCTGTCTCCTCTGTCTCCTCTATCATCATACTCACTCCATTGTGCTGCAATTACCTGTGAGCTTCTTGCAGAGAAGAAATGTGCCTCACTCATCTTGGTAGTTAGCAGTGTGCCTGGCACCAGGTAGACTTTCAGTAAGTGCTGAATAAATGCACGTGTGCATGAACGAATAAAGGCTCTCACAGAAGAGTGGATGGGGAGCATTTTTCTGTCAAACATTTTGATGAGGAATGATTGTTTCCTTAAAAGTGAACACAAGGCTTAAAATGATTCCACTTTTCTGCGTTCCATTTTTTTCTAGGTTTATTTTAGAAAATATGTTAATACTTAGTTGGAGAAGGTCAGATTCATTCCTGTTTTATATTTAGCTCCTCCAATTGTCTTGAATAATGATAATATAATGGCGCCAAATGTTAAGAAATTCTTTATCCCCTCCTACCCCCCATGTAGACTTAGTCACTGCCAGGCACTTTTTTAAAGGCACAAAATTTAGATATACTATATATTAAGTTATTTTAAAATAGTATCTACCACTACACAAAACCCTATAATTAAACTACTAAAAAAAAAGTATATTCATTCTAAAAAGCACTTTAGTTATCAACTGAAATCATTCTTAAAGAAGTATTTCAGCAAGCATCTTAACAATGGACCGTCTGTGTGTGTGCCAATTTGAAAACTGCTGTTCGGTAATACCTAGGATTCTGCAAAACTGGAATTGGAATAAGATATTATGAATCTTCATTTCTCTTCTGCTAAATCCCCTTTGCTACCCCTCTTACTTTGTTCCTCATGTCTATATTTTTTGCTAACTCTCTCCTTTCCCTTAAATATTCCTCTTTCCCTATCCCTTTGGCCTCAATATCCAGGGCAGCCCCACAGCCACTCACCCAGATAGATGCATGAGTTTACTTGACAAGAAAGATGAGGGAATGAAAGAGCAAAAAGTGAAATCTCAGCTGAGGTGCAGTTGGAAAGGGACTAAGACTCAGAAGACACTGGGTTTGAGTCCTGGCTCAAGCTTTTAACTCTTCTGAACCTCGATCAGCTGTAAAGTGCCCCCACGGGTCCTAGCTCCCGGAGTTGCCGAAAGCAGTGGATGATAGACACGTGAGACCTGGTACGTGATCCCCACCAGAGGGCGCTCAATCAGGTAGGAACTTAGGCTTCTCCAGGGAAGCCCCAACTCTCAAATAATTGTTGAACAGACGGACATATTATTAATGAATAAATGTTTGACCACTCTGGGTTAATTTACTCTTAACTCTCACTCTTACACTTCCTTGATTTTTCCAAAAGGAATTATTTTTCCTTAAATGTTTTTCTTACAATGTGGGTTGAAATCTTACACATTTGTATCTAAAAACTGATTGTCTAGGGAAAAGAGGTCTTGTTAGCTTTTTGCATCTGAACAAAGCTAAAGAGAAATCTCCTAGCCTGTTCTTCTCCTCCTCTGTTTTCAGATATAACACTAGTAAGTTTGTGTCCAGGAAAAAATAAGAACTGTCCAAAGAGAGGCCACTGGGATAGAGGAACTGAGGGGTTAGCCCCTTCCCAGGCTCACAAGGTGTAGGGATAATTCCAGTGCCCAACAGAGACTGACACTGTCACCTTCTTGGCA